CATCCATCCAAACACAGACATCCATCCATCCAAACACAGACATCCATCCATCCAACCATCCATCCATCCATCCAAACAGACATCCATCCAGAAATTCAGCCATTCAAACAGACATCATCCATCCAAACAAACATCCATCCATCCAAAGAAACATCCATCCATCCATCCATACATCCATCCATACATACATACATACATACTTCCATACATCCATACATCCATACATCCATACATCCATACATCCATACATCATCCTTTACCTGCTTCTTCCTTTTCGGGTCACGGGGGTCACCAGTGCTCATTGTCGAGGCAATGTATAAATAAAGGTTGAATGCATGTGTATTTATGCACTGCTCCTTTACTGTTATTGTGAATGATATTAAAATGTTCCTCTGTCTATATATTATAATTATAATCAGTCTTGATGTGACCTGTCAGTAAAGAGACAGCAAAGAGATAATTTTTATTATCCTCAAGGTTTGATTGATATGATACAGAGACATGTTTTCAGAGAGTCCTTGAGAAGTGTTCTGTCTCCCACAACCAACTCCCCGACGTGTCTCTGTGTGCAGCTGGGCTTCTGATAACAGCTCCACAGAGCAAAGGGGGAGGATGAGTACACTGGCGCCTGGGGATTCTATAAACTAAAAGTTTTTACCACAGGAAGTGTAGAACGGGTCAGAACCTCAGACAGGTGAAGGCACTGATAAGTGTGAACTTGTAAATGCATTGATCTTCTGTGATTGTTGGCTGTTCTCCAAAGCCTTGTAATAAATCTGATGAAGTCTAAACCTGATCATTTAAGGAATGCCTTTTTTCTACGACACTCTATCGAGCATTCACTATGCGAGAGGTGGGGACACACCTGGACAGGTCTCCAGTCCATCACAGGGACACATAGAGACAAACGAGACAAACAACCATTCGCTCTCTCTCTCACCTAGGAACAATTTAGAGTTACCAATCAGCCTAACATGCATGTTTTTAGTCTGTGGGAGGAAACAGGAGTACCTGGAGAAAACCCACCCAGCACGGAGAGAACATGCAAACTCCACCCAGGAAGGCCTCGGGCTGGGATTTGAACTGGAAACCTTCTCACTAAGAGATGGCAGCTCTAACCACTGCGCTACCATACTACCTAAATACAAGAATCATACAATTAAAACACCACAAAACACATGGATCCTGACACTAGAAAACTGCCATGAGTGCATTTCCAACAAAAATCCATTCATCCATGTTCTTTGGCTGGTCTAACAAAAATAATAATAAAGAAAATGAACTGATGAAGGGTAGGACTGGTGCTTTTTAAATACTAATCACTTACTCGACAAGCCATCTGACTCCATGGTGAAGTTTGCAATGTCTTCATGACCTTCGTCCCCCTCTGCACCAACGCCACGCTCTCTGGTTCCTATAGCTAGGGAGCGTCGATGGGCATGGATCTCCTCTGAGATGCTCTCCAAGTTACGTAACGCTGCACGGTACTCAGCCTTGGCGACCACAAGCTTGGCCTGACGCTCGTCCACATGGTGCTTCAGTTGCTTTGAAAAAAAAACATCATTAAATACACGTATGAGAAATAAAACTGTACAAATATTTATATACATTATGAATGACATCTATATATATATATATATATATATATATATATATATATATTTTTTTTTTTTTTTTACATATTAGAGTTATCTAGGTTGTTATTATTCCTTCACCTTTCAAGAAACTGTCAGATAGTTTAGTGTTTATGTAAAATCCTAAATCTATAGCACACAGTTGAACAAACCATGCACATACCTCAAGCTGTAGATAATATCTGGCTTTCAGTTCAAAATAGGGTCTGCAACAGAAAAAGGTTAAAAAAATGAAAAAACAGAGAAGAAGAAATATTTCTGGTCCAAAAAAAAACAAAAAACCTAGAAGAAAAACACTTCTCTAACAGCAGTCACATTCCTTAGCTCTTAGCCCGGGAGTTCACCCCAACACGGCTTAACCAACACATAAAACATCTGGACAGAATCACGTGACAGAAACTGAGCCCCTCTTTGTCAGCACACGCTCACATGAAGAGGCCTAAGCAGGGTGAAGCGTGTGAGCGTCTTCTCCAGCCAGTCGTAGCAGAACGCTAGCACAGACCTGGATTTGCTTATGGAGCGCCTCAGTTTCTTCTCCAGCAGCTTCATGTGGCCCATACAGGAATTGTAGTTAGCTGCTGTTTTCTTGTGCTCAGCTTCACTCTGTGTCCTCGCCTGCTCTGCCTCCATCACCTGAAACAAAACGTGCTCCAATTATTACACAGAATCTGCTGTTTTTACTGCTGCAGCAGTTCACCTCGTTACTGTGGAAGAATCGTCTTGTGTTCTTACTTTCTGCGTAGCGTGGTTGAGCATTTCCTGCCAGGCTGAGTCAAACTGCCGGCTGTCTTCTTCCAGAAGTTTCTCCTCTGCCAGGGCGATGGTCTCTTTAGCCGCCCGCAGGATCTCAACAGCCCGCTGGAATTCCTGAGTGGCTTTCTGGGCTTCTGCCTGAGCCTGTAGCGCAGACAGAAGACAGCCACAATTATAACTATTGAGGAATAGAATGAACAAAAAGTCAAGTTAGCTGCTCTGTAACCAATATCCTTTTTTCAACTACAAAATACAAACCCAGTTGCTTTTGTAAAATTTTGCACTTCCTTTGCGGCCTGCCAGTGTTGTGCCAAATACTGTTTAAAATAGTTAAAATAGTCTTAATTAATTGTCAACTGATAATTTGGTTTGCTTCTAGAAGGAACAGTGGATAATTTCTTAGTACAGTCTAATAAAAACTAAAAGATTCCTCCTACAAAGAGACAATTGTGTCTTTGTGAGGAAATCTGACTTGTCACAGTCAGGAGGGGGACTAGAGTCATCACACTACTGGACATTATTAGACCCACTCGCTCCAGTCAAACAGGCGTAAGCTAAAGGTCAGAGAACTGGCTGATATCCAACATGAAGCACTAACAAGAACTCTGGTCAGACTTCCTTGCATGAGACAATCAGAGGTATTTGGTTCACTAAGTGGTTTTAGTCGCTAAAGGCAGTTTCACTGGGCTGAAACTAAGAGGCTGCAGGAGGAGTACATCCCTCCATCATCCTGAACAATTCAGAATCAGATGACGGGAGCATTTATTCCCTGGATCAGTATTTATTATGTAAAAGAACTGTAACATCAAAGAGACCTTTTCATTGTGCATATCCTGTCATGACTCTGTCATATGGAGCCCTGTAATATGATCTGCTGTTACAGTAATGCTGGTCCTCATTTACTTCCTCTTCAGAAGTGAAGTGAACAATTCAGGGCCCACAATTTAAACGATTTCAAGTATTTATTTGTTTATTTTTACAAAATTTGGGCTTCCAGCTCATGAAACTCACGAAAACAGGATTTCAAAAAATTAAAATACTGTGATGACATCAGCCCACACTACTTCTCAGTTTTTGCAAAAAAATAAATAAATAATTAGGATCACAACAAATCGATCAAAATATGGTACTTTCAAAATGATATGTCAATCTTCAATACTTGGTTGGGAATCCCTTTGTCATAATCACTGCCTCGATGCGACGTGGCATTGACTGGGAGTTATGGAAGCCCAGATTTCCTTGATGCTGTCAGCTATTCTTTGTTGTTGGGTCTGGTGCTCCTCCCTCATTTTTCTCTTGAGAACACCCCATAGATTCTCAATGGGGTTTAGGTCCAGCGAGTTGTCTGGCCAGTCAAGCACTGTGGCATGGACATCAAACCAGGTTTTGGTGCTTCTGGCAGGATGTGCAGGGTTCAGGTCCTGCTGGAAGATGAAATCTGCATCTCCATACAAATCCTCAGCAGAAGGAATCATCAAGTCCTCTAAAACATTCTGGTAGACTGTTGTGGTGACCTTGGATTTAAGAAAACATAGTTTACCAACACCTGCACCGGACATTGCACCCCAAATCATGACTGACTGTGGATATTTCACACTGGACCTCAAGCAGTATGGGTTCTGTTCCTCACCCTTCTTCCTCCAAACCCTTGGACCTTGAGTTCAGAATGAAAGGCACACTTTACTTTCATTGGAAAAGAGGACCGAGGAACCCAGCAGTTGTAGTCCATCTCCCAGATGCGTCTGAATGTGGTGGTTTGTGAAGCTGTGACTCCCACCTCATTCCACTCTTTCTGGATCTCTGCCAGATTCTGGAATCTTCTCTGTTTGATAATCTGCTGAAACCCACGGTCATCTCTTTTGCTGGTGCATCTTCTCCTGCCACATGTTGCCCTTCCACTAGACTTTCCATTGATATGCTTGGACACAGCACTCTGTGAACAGCCAGCCTCCT